TGATGGGATGGGAGGTGGTAGTGATGGGATGGTGAGGTGGTGGTGATGGAAGGGCAGGTGGTGGTGATTGGATGGGAGGTGGTGGTGATGGGATGGGGAGGTGGCGGTGATGGGATGGGAGGTGGTGGTGATGGGATGGGTGGTGGTGATGGGATGGGAGGGGAGGTGGTGGTGATGGGATGGGAGGTGGTGGTGATGGGATGGGTGGTGGTGATGGGATGGGATGGGAGGTGGTGGTGATGGGATGGGAGGTGGTGGTGATGGGATGGGAGTTGGTGGTGATGGGAGGGGAGGTGGTGGTGATGGGATGGGGAGGTGGTGGTGATGGGATGGGAGGTGGTGGTGATGGTATGGGATGGGAGGTGGTGGTGATGGGATGGAGAGGTGGTGGTGATGGGAGGGGAGGTGGTGGTGATGGGATGGAGAGGTGGTGGTGATGGGATGGGAGGTGGTGGTGATGGGATGGGAGATGGTGGTGATGGGATGGGGAGGTGGTGGTGATGGGAGGGGGGGTGGTGGTGATGGGAGGGGAGGTGCTGCTGATGGGATGGGTGGTGGTGATGGGATGGGATGGGAGGTGGTGGTGATGGGAGGTGGTGGTGATGGGATGGGTGGTGGTGATGGGATGGGCGGGGAGGGGGTGGTGATGGGATGGGAGATGGTGGTGATGGGATGGGAGGTGGTGGTGATGGGAGGGGAGGTGGTGGGGATGGGAGGGGAGGTGGTGAGGATGGGAGGGGAGGTGGTGGTGATGGGATGGGAGGTGGTGGTGATGGGAGAGGAGGTGGTGGTGATGGGAGGTGGTGGTGGTGGTGATGGGAGGGGAGGCGGTGATGGGATGGGGAGGTGGTGGTGATGGGATGGGAGGTGGTGGTGATGGGAGGGGAGGTAGTGGTGATGGGAGGGGAGGTGGTGGTGATGGGAGGGGAGGCGGTGATGGGATGGGGAGGTGGTGGTGATGGGAGGGGAGGTGGTGGTGATGGGAGGGGAGGCGGTGATGGGATGGGGAGGTGGTGGTGATGGGATGTGGAGGTGGTGAGGATGGGAGAGGAGGTGGTGAGGATGGGAGAGGAGGTGGTGGTGATGGGATGTGGAGGTGGTGGTGATGGGATGGGAGGTGGTGGTGATGGGATGGGGAGGTGGTGGTGATGGGATGGGGAGGTGGTGATGATGGGATGGGAGGTGGTGGTGATGGGATGGGAGGTGGTGGTGATGGGATGGGAGGTGGTGATGAGAGGGGAGGTGGTGGTGATGGGATGGGAGGTGGTGGTGATGGGAGGGGAGGTGGTGATGAGAGGGGAGGTGGTGGTGATGGGATGGGGAGGTGGTGGTGATGGGATGGGAGGTGGTGATGAGAGGGGAGGTGGTAGTGATGGGATGGGGAGGTGGTGATGATGGGATGGGGAGGTGGTGGTGATGGGATGGGTGGTGGTGATGGGATGGGGAGGTGGTGCTGATGGGATGGAGGGGTAGCTGCATGCAGCTCTGGAGCTACAGGTTGCCAGCCCTACCACTACCCCTACCACTCCCCATACCCCTACCACTCCCACTACCACTACCCCTACCACTGCCGCTCCTGCTACTCCCTGCATCGCAGGCCTACCCCAACCCCTCCTTCACCACCCCCACCTGTCCTCCCGTCACCATAACAGCACCCACTCATTATTGGAACCACTATCATCGTAAGCACAATGGGATTATTGTTGGAAAGCGCCCTGCGCTACGGCGCTATATAAAACTACTTAAGATAAGTTGACGTGCAACAGTGCGGTTGTGCAGCTCCGCACCACTCCAGAGAATTCGTACCTCCCCCCACCTCCCCATCCCATTACCCCCCACCTCCCCATCCCATCACCACCCCTCCCCACCTCCCCATCCCATCACCACCACATTTTGCAATTTTTTCCTGGATTTTTCTGTTTGCGCATAGTCACTTTCTAAGATGTTTTCTTGTTCATGTTTTTGTTTGTTGCGGTTGCGGTTGCACCCGATTCAAGAGCCGAATGGCTCACAGGGCTATACCAAATAAATGAAACTGAAACTCTTCTCGGCTGTAGGAGAACCACCCACCCACATCTGTGCGCGCTATCTGATGGCGGGGAGCGGTAGCGTCAGCGGTTAGCGCTTTGCAATACCCGAGGTATCGATTCCCGCCCACTGCCAACATCGGTGACGATGATCTGAACCGGTCCTGGGCCTGTCCTAGGTCGACTCGACCTCAAATGAGTATCCGGTGTAACCATCGCCACTTGAGAGACAAAGACGGCCGGGCGTGGTGTTGTCCACTCCCTCGTGCGCCGTGCCGACCTTCATGTGTGCTCGCTAACAGCACCTGCCCCAACAGTCTGTCAAGGCTATACGGGGTGGATCTTTGTCTTTGCTGTCTAATTGATGCACCACGCGGGGATGGGCGAGGGAGAGAGGCAATCGGTGAGCGGTAACACTCGCCCCCACCCCTCTCTCTGTGTGTGTGTGTGTGCGGTAATTATACAGGAAGCGCGTGTTTACGGCCCACCGTAATGCATATTTTATAACGGCTTAATTGAAATCAAACGCGCGGTGATGGCTTTACGTTGGACGCGCTGAACACACAGATCCATAACGATGCATAGACACCCCACCCCTCACCCCCACCCTCTTTGGTCGATCCGCTGCTGAATGAGGACGTCTTGCCCGTGCCTTCGTTTCATTCACGGGGGCGGGGTTTGGGGAGGGGGGCTCTTTGACCATACTTTACCACACTGGTCAGTCCGGGATGGTTTTTGGGAGGTGGCGGTGGGGGGGGTTACATGGTTGGGACAAAGGCAGAGACACGGAGGGGTCCGACTCCGCTGAGAACCTGGGGAACCAATCTGGGGTTCAGGTGGGGGTCTCAAGAGCCGCGAGATGAGGGTCTCAGCCCGGTCACTGTGTGGGGGTAAGTTTGGGGGAGAGTGTGGGAGAGAGAGTGGGAGAGAGAGTGTGGGGGGGGGGAGAGAGTGTGTGGGGGGGGGAAGAGTGTGGGGGGGGGGGAGCGAGTGTGGGGGGGGGAGAGCGAGTGTGGGGGAGAGAGAGAGAGTGTGGGGGGGGGGGGGAGAGAGTGTGGGGGGGGGGGAGAGAGAGTGTGGGGGAGAGAGAGAGAGTGTGGGGGAGAGAGAGAGAGTGTGGGGGGGGGGGGGGGGAGAGAGTGTGGGGGGGGGGGGAGAGAGTGTGGGGGGGGGGAGAGAGTGTGGGGGAGAGAGAGAGTGTGGGGGAGAGAGAGAGTGTGGGGGGGGGAGAGAGAGTGTGGGGGAGAGAGAGAGTGTGGGGGGGGGAGAGAGAGTGTGGGGGGGGAGAGAGAGTGTGGGGGGGGGGAGAGAGAGAGTGTGGGGGGGGGAGAGAGAGAGAGTGTGGGGGGGGGGAGAGTGTGGTGGGGGGGGAGAGAGAGTGTGGTGGGGGGGGGAGAGAGAGAGTGTGGTGGGGGGGAGAGAGAGTGTGGTGGGGGGGGAGAGCGAGTGTGGTGGGGGGGGAGAGCGAGTGTGGTGGGGGGGAGAGCGAGTGTGGTGGGGGGGGAGAGAGAGTGTGGGGGGGGGGGGAGAGAGAGTGTGGTGCGGGGGAGAGAGAGTGTGGTGCGGGGGAGAGAGAGTGTGGTGCGGGGGAGAGAGAGTGTGGGGGGGGGAGAGAGAGAGTGTGGTGGGGGGGAGCGAGAGTGTGGTGGGGGGGAGAGAGAGTGTGGTGGGGGGAGGAGAGGTGTGGGGGAGAGAGAGTGTGGTGGGGGGGAGAGAGAGTGTGGTGGGGGGGAGAGAGAGTGTGGTGGGGGGGAGAGAGAGTGTGGTGGGGGGGAGAGAGAGTGTGGTGGGGGGGAGAGAGAGTGTGGTGGGGGGGGAGAGAGAGAGTGTGGTGGGGGGGGAGAGAGAGAGTGTGGTGGGGGGGGATAGAGAGAGTGTGGTGGGGGGGGAGAGAGTGTGGGGGGGGAGAGAGAGTGTGGTGGGGGGGGAGAGCGAGTGTGGTGGGGGGGAAAGAGAGTGTGGTGGGGGGGAGAGAGAGTGTGGTGGGGGGGAGAGCGAGTGTGGTGGGGGGGGAGAGAGAGTGTGGTGGGGGGAAGAGAGAGTGTGGGGGGGTAGAGAGAGTGTGGTGGGGGGGAGAGAGAGTGTGGTGGGGGGGAGAGAGAGTGTGGTGGGGGGGAGAGAGAGTGTGGTGGGGGGGAGAGAGAGTGTGGTGGGGGGGGAGAGAGAGAGTGTGGTGGGGGGGGAGAGAGAGTGTGGGGAGTTTGGGGTCGTGAGAGAGAGTGTGGAGTGCGGGGGGAGTCTGTGGGGAGTGCGAGGGAGTGGAGGACGTGGCAAGGATTTACAGGGGAGGAGGTCACAGCTTCAGCCGCGAGGCTTAATAAATATTCATGTATGTACCGCGGAGATGCATGTATGCATATGTATGTGCGTGTGTGCAGGTAGCAGAGGGCGACGTGTGAGTGTGCGTGTGTGCTGAGCAGTGGTTAGCGCGCTGTGCTACGAACCCAGGTACCCGAGTTCAATGCCCGCTCACGGCTAATGTCAGTGGCGAGCAATTTCTGAACCGGTCCTGGGCCTCCCCCAAGGTCAACTCAATGAGTGTCTGGTATGATGTGTAAAAACATCGGCACTGGGAAGACAAAGGCAGCCAGGCGTGGTGCTTCCATGTGCCTCCCTGCATCTCCATACTCTCGTGTGTCTCACTGCGTCTCCCCGTGTGTCACTGTATTTCCCCGTGTCTCACCGCAACTCACCGTGTGTCACTGCATTTCTCCACATTTCACCGCATCTCTGTGTCTCACTGTGTCTCACCGTGTCTCGCTATGTCTCACCGCATCTCCCCATGGGTCACTGCATTTCTCCACGTTTCACCGCATCTCTGTGTCTCACTGTGTCTCACTGCATCTCACTGCATCTCTCTGTCTCACAGCGTCTCCCCGTGTTTACCCACGTCTCCCCACGTCTCCCCACGTCTCCCCTTATCTCGCCGCGTCTCCTCACCCCACCGCGTCGTCTCTCCGTGTCACCCGGCAGGCCTGGACGACTCCCTGCAGGAGTACGTGGGGCGTGTGGAGAGCGAGAAGGTGGACGGGGAGCAGCTCCTCGCCGTGTCGCACCAGGAGCTCGAGGAGCTCGGCGTGGCGCGCATCGGCCACCAGGAGCTCATCCTCGAGGCCGTGGACCTCCTCTGTGCCCTGGTGAGCGGAAGCAGTGGCGTGGGGGTGAGGAGGAGCGGTCGACCGATGAGAGATAGTCGATGTGGGGGCTTTGGTTGTGGAGTGCGGCGCAGATTGAGGATCTCTGTCGTGGTGAAGAGGTGTGACGCTTCTGTGTGACGTTGAGGATGTGAAGGCTTCTGTCGTGGTGAGGGGTGAGGACCTGTGGCATGGTGAGGAGGTCAAGTCCAGGGTCATGGTGAGGAGGTGCGGTCCAGGGTCATGGTGAGGACCTGTGGTATGGGTGAGGAGGTCAAGCCCAGGGTCATGGTGAGGGGTGAGGACCTGTGGCATGGTGAGGAGTTGAGGTTCAGGGTCATGGTGAGATGGTGAGGTCCAGGGTCATGGTGAGGACGTGAGGATCTGTGGTATCGGTGAGGAGGTCAAGTCCAGGGTCATGGTGAGGGGTGAGGACATGTCTAAGGAGGGTGGTGATTTGAGAAACCTGCCCCATGTTTTTTATCTCCCTCATCGGGATATGGAGTCGAACTCGCAGCCTCTGGTTTGCTAGTCTAGTGTGCTGGGTGTTGTTACTCCGGTGTCGCAGAGATAGACACCGGGACATGTGAAGAGAAACAAAGAGAGATATAAATAAGAAATGTAATAAGTGTTGCCCGCCACTTGTTATTGTTACGCTCGGAGGATCTGGGGAATTGCTGTGTTAATGTTTCCGTGTGTGTGTGGCGTCGAAATCCTGCCCTTCTGTTGCAGATTCTTTGTTTAATCCCACACGAAGTTTAATGTTTATACTTGCGTGTAAGTGCACTGTGTGGGTGTTTTGAGTAGTGGGGAGCGGTAGTGTAAGGGTTGGCGCATTGCGCTCTAAAACCCAGCGAGCCGAGTTCGATTCCCAATTGTGGCCAACACCCGTGACGATTATTTGAACCGGTCCTGGGCCTCCCCTGGATCGACTCGGCCTCAAATAAGCACCTGGTGCGGTGTGTAATCATCGTCACTAGAAAGACAAAGGCGGTCGGGCGTGGTGCTGGCCACCCACCCCCTCGTGTGCTGTGCCGGCCTTCATAGGTGCTCGCTAACAGCACTTGCCCCAACAGTCTGTTAAGGCTACACGAGTGATCTTTGTCTTTGGACGTAGTGGGGAGCAGTGGGGCGCGGTGGGGTCAACCCTCTGACTCCAGCTCACGACTTCCAATAAAAGTGGCGAATATTTGATCGGCTCCTGGGTCTTCCATCCCAAAGGTTGACTCGGACTTAAACATCAATAGCTAACGCGGCGTGGCCGTGCTGGCCTTAATAGGTGCTCGCTAACAACACTGGGCCCAATAATCTGTTAAGGGTGACACGGAGAATCTTTGTATTTGGTATGAAATGTCAATGGTGTGGGGTCCTGTGTGTTTTGCACAGACATCCGGGGTCTCAATGCGAGCTGTTTTTTTGTGTGTCACCGGAGTTCGCGTTGCCATACTTCACCGCAACGGCGGGTGAAGTGAAGCAGGCATCATCCTCGGCCACGTGTCGCTCGCCCCGAGGTTTCCCGCCATCGGGGGTGGGAGCCAAAGTTTGGGGTGGCGATTAAAGAATTTCGTTGACCGCGTGCAAAAAGGAAAAATGTCGGACGTGCGAAATATCTTGCGAGAAACAACAACAACTACAACTCCATCGGGCTTGGTCCGTTAATCGGTCCGAGCGGATGGATGTGCGCAATTGAGCTGTAAACAAACATGAAAGGAACGAAACGAGAGAAGTGGTGGCGGTGTTGGTGGCCGTGGGAACGCAGTGAAATAGTGCGAGCGACAGAGTCCAGTAGGAGGAGAGAGCGACCGAGCAGGCGAGAGGGACAGAAGGTGTTTGTTGTATTTTTTTATCTCATTTAATTTCTGTCCGGAGAGGCACAGAGTGAGTGCGGCTTTACTGTGGCCACAGAGAAAGAGATCGAGACATGGAGACCCCCCCCCCCCCCCCGCGCTCTCTCTCCCTCTCCGTACGCTGGTGTCCTGTGATTGTCACTGACCCCCCTCCGCTCCACCCCCCCCCTGTCGTTTGTTCTTGCTTTGCACTGGCTCGGCCACATATAGCCTCCACCCCCCCCCCCCCTTTACACCCCCCACCCCCCCCTTGGGGCAAGATCGGATGTGGACTCACATGTGGGAGTGAGGAAAGGGGAGCGCATAGAGAGAATTGATTGTGTGCAGCAGGAGGAGGGTGCGTGGGTGAGTGTGCGTACGTGCGAGTGATGCTGCCCACCCACCACCTCATCACGCGGGGAGCGGTGGTGTAGTGGTTAGCGCTATGCCGCGCTACGAACCCGGCTACCCGAGTTCGATTCCCGTGCAGAGGCCAACACCGGTGACGATTATTTGAACCGGTCCTGGGTCTCCTTCTCTCGTTTGTACCCGATGCGGTGTGTAAACATCGCCACTAGAGAGACAAAGGCGGCCGGGCGTGGTGCTGGCCACCCACCAAACCCCCCTCGCGTGCCGTGCCGGCCTTCAAAGGGGCTGTTCACGAAGAGCACTTGCCCCAAACAGCCTGTTGAGGCTATCAGGGTATATTTGTCTTTGTGGTGCCGGCCACCCAACCCCCTCGTGTGCCCTGCGTGCCTTGTAATAGGGAGCTGCTCGCTACAGGCACTTGCCCCAAACAGCCCGGCGAGGCTACCTGGGGGATCTTTGGCTGTGTACAAATATCCAGGCTCGATATAGCCGGGGGGGAGGGGGGGTATCATGCTCGTGTGTGCCGTGCCGGGCTCCATAGACGTGCTCGCTGACAGCACTTGCCCCAACAGTCTGGTAAAGGCTTAACAGGGAGGATCTTTGTCTTTGTAGAGAAACGGTAGTGGAGCGCTTACCGCGCTGCGCTCCTAACCCCGGCGACACGAGTTCGATTCGGTACCCGCTCAAGGAGGCCACCAACATCCAGCGACGCTGATCTGAACGGGTCCTGGGCCTCCCCTAGGTCGACTCAGCCCAAAATGAGTACCTGCTGCGGGGTGGGTCTGGCTACCCCCCCCCACCCCGCGCGTCGTGCGTCATAGGTGCTGCTGGTCCGCTCACGGCACTTGCCCCAGCAGCCCGCGTCGGCTACACGGGATAGCTTTGTCTTTGTTGTGCACGCGTGGGGTTCCCGATGGGAGGGAGGAGTGGGTGGCTGGAGGGGCGGGGGTTGGGGGGGGGGCTTGGCAGACAGGTTTCCTGCCTGGTTCAAGAAAAACAAAGGCAAACATCACCCTCTCCCGCCCCGTGTCGCCTCCACAGGCGGGGGGGGCGGGCAAGTGTTGTCGGACCCTCCCCTAGGTCGACTCGGCCTCAAATGGGTAACTTGGTGCGGATGTGTAACAAATAAGAATGGGTTTTACAACTTTGTGGCAATGCGACAGGGTGTTAAGATGTTCGCACACCAGGCAAGGTACGGTCTGCATTGACCCACGCGCCACTTGTGGCGAGCATGCAATTAGTGCGGATGTGTGGAAAATCAATCGGCACTGGGGGGAGACAAAGGCGGCCGGGGTTGTGGTGCTTCCCCACCTCTGCACCCCCTGGCCTCGTGGGCCTTGCAGCACTTGCCCTCAATAGTCTAGAAGGCTATACGGGGCGTCTTTATGAATGTATACAGTGCCTGCGTGCTGTTGGCACAGCAGGGAGAGGGAGTTGGCTGTTGCATTTGCTGTCAGCCTGGGAATATTAACCCGGAACATCTGGGTCTCTCCCATAACCTCACAGCTCGCATTCACCACCCACTCCACGTGCGCCTAAGCGCGAACCTAGCCTGGCACAATCGGTGACGTCACCGCCGACGCACGAGTGGTGAATGACGGATGTTGTGATGAACAAAGTTCCACCATAATTGTGTGTCAATAAGTAGAACAACAGGCTGCGATTTAGCCAGGACAGCCTCACGGAGTCTCAAGGCGCTGTTGACTGGAGGGTCTTGCCACTGCAATTGTGGATGGGGTGCCGCGGTGGCTATGAGACGTTAACTACGTCGCCTGGCATACAGGAGGTCGTGGGTTCGATCCCGACCCTGACGCCTGTTGTATATTTGGAGTTTGCGTGTCTCCCCGTGGTCGTGTTGATTTTTCTTTCTCCGTGTTTTCCGTTTTTTTCTCTCCACATTTAGAATCGTCGTGCGTCTAGAGCATCTGGCTGCATTACATTTCCACGTCATAAGCCACTTCGTTGAACTATCACTTGTGGCCAGGTCACTTCAGCGACAACAACAAAAAGCACTACATAGGTCAGTGGGCCTTACCTGGTAAAATAAAAAAGTATAGTTTCGTATAGTATACGAGTGGGGGGTGGACATTCAAAAAGCTCCACACAGATGGACTCGATAATCCATTGCTGTTACTGCCACCTTTGCACATGCAATTAAATCAACTGTTTTATATAAATATTATTTTATTATTTCTAGATTTGAAGCTTTCGTGACTGCAAGGATTCATATTCTTAGGTTTTTTAGGTAAAGTCACGTAGGTAAAAATTGTAAATTAATAAAAGTAAAATAAAACAATAAAAATAAAAAATCACGACGTTTCGGAAGCAACACAAGCCTCCGTCTTCAGGAGGCTTGTGTTGCTTCCGAAACGTCGTGATTCCGAAACGTCGTGATTTTTTATTTTGTTTTATTTTACTTTTATTAATTTACATTTTTTACCTACGTGACTTTACCGAAAAAACCTAAGAATATTTTATTATTTCCCTTCTACGTGACTTTACCGAAAGAACCAAGAATATAAATCAACTGTGTTTGCAAACATTCACACACAAGCGCGCGCGCGCTAATTCGCAGAGATTCAATACACGGGCGACGATTCGGAGAGACGATACAATGCTGGATGTCGTTTGCGAATCTCTCAAGTCTTTGTGGCGAATGCTCAGCGCCTCTAGTGGTTGCGGAGGCTTCCGTGAACCCATCGCGGTCACACGGACCTTGTTCCGAGTCATCCACATGTGCTGTGCGACAGATCGCCGAACTTTGGAATCGATGAACCATCGCATCGCTGCCCCCTCTGCCATTGTGGC